CTCAGGGGACTGCCACCCACATCCAGCAGCCTGGCCCTGCTCCTCTATGTCCCAGCAGGGTTGTCTGCGCTGACACCTGGGACTCTGAAGGAATCTACGCGGGGCATAGGTCAAGGTTGGCTCTCACCAATCAATTTGTGCTAGTCTTCCCACAATCCACTTCTTCCTGGTCTCATTTCTTCTATAGGAACCCTTTACCTTGCTAATGTCATTGGGTAAAATGTGTTTTGTCCCATATCTCCTTTCCCATGATGCTATGCACAGAACCCAGGGCCTATCTCGTCTAAGCAAGTGTCTATTACTGAGTGACATTCCCAGGCCAGAGTGTGGCCTTTAACTGAGGGTGTGCTGGATCTCCTGGTCTGTACTGAGACCACTCCCTGACCACGGGACTCTGAGAGCTTCCTATTGCCCTCTGTGGGACTCCTGAGTGGGATTGGGCAGGGAACCTCAAGTCTGGGACTTGGGGGACATTAACTTGCATTCAAGTTTTTCCTTGGTGCCTTTGCTGGGACTCACATTTTAGTCTCTCTGCTTTGAGCCGTAGGATGATGTCCCCTCGCTGTGCTGACATCCCTTCCCAAGGCTTCAGAAGTCTGGTCACAGCCTGTGGGCTCTGTGGGGGATCCCTCCACTAGACTTTCCAGAGAGCCGTTTCCTGGGAATCCTGCAGGCTCTCGCCTGGTTCAGGGCAGCTTGGGCTACAGAAAACACATTGGATCTCTGATGTCTAGCACAGCCTCTGTGGTCAGGACGGTAGGTTGCCTGGCTGGGCCTGGGCGGGGGTGAGGAAGGAGAGTAGATACAGTTCCTGGGCCCACCCAGCCCACTGCTGGGCATGGGAACAGGACTAGCCTGAGATGCCCCAGTTGGCCAGGGAGCCCTCAGCAACTTTGGAGGGCAGCATTCCTTCCCCAGCTTTTCTTTGGCAGAGCTTCAGGTGACGTTCCGGAGTGACCCTGTTTCTGGATCATGTCTATTGACTCTGGCTTCCTCCCCTCTCTGGTCTTGTGCCTAGTTGGGGTGCAGGGAAGAGAACAATCTGTCTGGGGTGCTGCGTCTCTGACAGTCTCACTCTCTCAGTCCTGTTCTAGTGTCCGGAAGCTAGTGGGGGGGGGCACTCGCTTCAGGGCAGGAGGGCTATGGTGCTTTCAGACTGTGATCTCTGTCGTTGGGGTCTGGCCTGCAAAGGACTCTGGGAAATGTCACTTAGAGCTGGGTCCAGGGCAGTCTGGGAAATTGTGGGAACAGGTGAGAACAGGTTGGAAGGGAGGGGCAGCTGCTGGAATGTGTGGGCCTGGTGCACCCCACCCTCTTTCATTCAGGGTTGGGCCCTCTTGGTAGAGCCAGCACTTAGCCCTTTCTTTGTCTGTTCCCAGCTCTGCCACTAAGTACCCAATTCCTGTTCCCTCTTAGGGGATACTCTGTACCCCCTTGCTTTTTGCTGGGCTACAACCAATTGACTCTTCTGGGGAAGACTTTGGGGGAGACCTTTCTGGAACCCTCAGAAGCTTCTCAGAGTCCTGATGCCAAGACCCTAGCCCTTTGCACAAAGTCTCTGTCACTCACAGGGGCCTCATTCCGAGGAGTTAGGGAAGGACACTACTATAGGAGGGCTGGTAGGGGGGATTCTAGGTCAGCCCAGCTCCCCAGGTGGTGGCTGAGGGCAACTTGTCAGTCCTGTAGATTCTGGGCCCCTGTTGCCACCTTGCAGGAGAAGCATGTCCTTCCCTGTCCTGTGCCTATGGCCTTTAGCATCTGGGCCACCCTCCTTAGTGTGGCATGCAGGGTCTCCCACAGGCTGGCCCCCTACCCACCTAGATCAGTTTCCATCCCTGTCTTCCCTCCTCTGGGTTGCCTCAGCCTTCCCTGAGGGTGTGAGGTCTTTGAGTGCCACTGGCCTTCCCATAGGACAGTCATGCCTGTTCGGGCAGTCAGTGTCTACCTAGGACTCTTATTTGTGCTGTGTCTTCTCACAATTCCTTCTCAGATGTTCTGTCTCCTGGGCTAGCCCAGGGTGCTTAGGTTAGCCCGCTCAGGCCTTTGTGTTACCTTACGAGGTCCAGTGTCTCCCCCATAGCCGCCTATTAGGTTTCCTAGCCAGGCCCTGCTGCATACAGTCCAAAGCTAAGTTAGCTAAAAGAGACCTGAATACATGAAGTTTGGAGGTTTCCCCTGAGGACTGGAGACTTGTATATGCCATCGACACTTCTGGTCCGGATCCTGCCTGCTCTGGTCTGGCAGTGGTGGTGGTGGTGGTGGGGCATTCTTCCTGGGAAGATTCTAGAGGTCTCTCCTGGAATCATGGACGATTCAGACTTGTTCAGGGGTAGCTGGCCATCACAACTTTGTGTGAGTGTGCATGAATAAGTGTGTAATGTGGGAACAAGTGAGAGAGGCTATGGGACTGAGAGCAGGGGCAGGCGTCCAGTGCAAAAGTGTGCACATGCGAGTCTAGTGTGAACGTGTGTTAGTTGTGAGGCTGGGCGTGCGTGTACGGTTGTGCGCGACTGTATGAGTCCATGTCTCTAAGCCGTGAGTGTGACAGTGTGGACCCGAGGTGTGAGGGGTGTGTCTGTGTGTGAAGGTGTGCATATAAATTTATGAGTACATGCCAGTTCAAGGGCATGTGATTCTATCTGGGAGAAGCTGAACGCATGTGCCCAAATGTAAGTGAGCTGTGTGCAAATGTGTGTGTGTGAGCTGTGCAAGTGTGTGGACGTATGTAATCTGTATGCGTGAGCTGTGTGTGCACTATTAGTGTGTAAGCTGAGTTTGTGAACAGGAGCTGTGTGAGCCAGCTGCTAACCTGCAGAAGTGCTGAACCTGGACCCCCTCCTCCCTTCCAAGGTCACAGTCAAATTGAGTGAAACCTGGAGCCTTTCCATGAATTCTGGGGGATTTTTGGGAGCTGCAGGCTCAGTTCTGCCCCAGGGGAGTTTCTACAGTCTAGAGAGAGCTTGGAGGCCATTCTTTCTTTCTTTTTTAAAAAAAGCAATATGGAATAGAGCCAAAATAGCACTGGCAAAATATATGTAGGATTTAAGAATGAAGACATAGAATCTGCTATGTGACATTAGACACTCAACTTCAAAAATTAATATAACTTGAAATCACATAAATATGTGTGCGTGTGTCTATGTGGGATGTGCAAATGGGGACAAGTGCCCACAAGAGGATAGGGGAACTGGACCTCCAGGTGATTGTGAGCTGCCTAACGAGGGTTCTGGGAACTGAACTCGGCTCCTCTGGAAAGAAGACATACTATTAACTGCTGAGTCATCTCCCCGGGTCCTTAGGCTCGCATCTTTTGACATGAACTTGTCCTATGCCCCCCTTAGCCCTGGTGTCACCACAGCTCAGAGAGCAGAAGCCGTTCCCAGGCCCAGGTGAAACAACTGGATGCCTGCTCAGGTCTGCCAGAGCAGCTCAGTGCTGCCATCTGCAGGCGCAGGGCCGGGACGTCTGCCTCTCAGCCCCAGCCTGGGTGAGAAAGCCTACCTGGTTCCCTAGGCGGGATCATCAGGAAAGCGGACTCCCTTGCCGTTCATCAACACAGGCAGGACATGCTTGGATTTTCAAATGTGCACATAGGATATACAGGGGTGCACATGGCCTGTCGTTGGTCTGGATTGGGTCCCCAGTTGGGGGTTAAACCCTGTGTGGGATGCACACCACTAGCAGCTGCTGTTACTAAAGAGTTCTCAGCAGGAAGCGGGTGCTTCCCATGAAGAACAGTGATGAACTCAGGGACCCCCAAACTCAGGGCAGGCAGGGAAGAAGCTGGTTTTGGGGTCCAGCAGTTTCGTAGAGGATCCTAAGGGGTAGGTAAGGAGGAAGGAAATATGTGGGAGGCAGGGAAAGACTTTTTGGAGGTGATCAACTGGAAGCAGAGGTCCAGGTGACCAGTTTTAGTGCACAGTTCAGTTTGGGAAGAAAATGTCCCACTATGGCCTGGAGGCAGGACAAAGGACACAGTGGCCCAGCTGGGCTTGGTGCAGTGGAAGAGTGGAGGACTCAGACAAGGAGGAATTTCCTGAGAGAGGTGAGCGGATCCAGGCTCCAGGAGAAGGGGTGTGAAGGGGCAGTTGGCAGATGGGGTTCCAGCGTTCCCCTGAATTTCCTTCTCTTTCAGGCAGCTCCTCTCCCGTGTGCGCAGAGGTGCAGGGCCCAATGTGACCAGCAGAGGGTGCTCTAGCCACAGGATTGAAAGCCGAGATTGAACCTTGTGGGTTCTTTGCATTCTTGGAAAGAAGTTGGAGAAACCCTGTCTCGAAAAACTAAAAATAAATAAATAAATGAATAAATGAATAAATAAATAAATAAATAAATAAATAAATAAATAAAAATAAAAGAAGAAGTCGGAGCCTAGAACCCATACAGGAATGACAAATGGCTTCCCTTTGGGGCAAGAGGACTTACGGAGAAGTGGACCTCACTGAGGTTCGGTGTGACCCCATAAAATTCCTTTTGTTTCCTGGTCAGGCTCCTGTCTGTTCACTTTTCCTTCTCTGGTCTCCTGGTGACTTTGGAACAATCCCCGGGAATGTGAAGACCCCCTCTGGCTGCCCTGGAGGCTTTCCTCTGGGCTCCGGGGTCTGTGTAGGGTCAGTCAGTCTTTTCAGGAAGCTCTGGGTGCTAATACCCAGGGCTCCTCCTGCATCTCTTGCTTCCCTGAACGGCCTGCAGGGGGAGGACTGCCTTGTTCGCGTGTGTTCACCCTAAAGCCTGACTTCTCAGCACCAGACTCAGCTCTTGCCTTCTGCCACAAAAGGCTAGACTTCCACAGGGCTGGCTGGTGGGCACAGCTCTCTTGCCAGCTGAGCTTGGGGCTTGGGCCAGCTGAGCTTGGGGCTAGGGGGCTGTCTAGCAACTGCTGGCAGGCGGATGATGGTTAGGGACGCGGGTTCTTTGGTTGTGAATGCTTCCTTCCTCTCCTGCAGGAAGTGACTCCTCCAACTCTGGTGATGCTTTTATTCATCCGATCATTTATTTGGCAGAACATTGTTTGGTGTGACCATTTCTGGGGACAAAGAAGGAGGTGGTAGGGTGCCCTTGTTGGGCTGGTGAAGGCCATGAACAAGGGAACACACACAGGCGGTACATGCTGTCAGAGGTGTCATGGCCCTTATGCCTGGAACCTGGAGCCACCACCATCATGGCTGTCCACCTGTTCAGCCCAGAAAGTCATTCCATTGCTTCCTGCCTGTCCTGGCCTGTGCCTCCGCTAGCCACCCAGTGCCATTTCCATCTTCATGTCTGTCTCCTCGCTTGTCACTTCACCCTGGGTGGGTTCTGGCCTCTTCCTGGTGTTCCATTCCCACCAAGGGAAGCCTCTTCATCAAACTCCTGGGGTGGCACGGAAGAAACAATGAATGAATGTGACCCAGAGGGACTGTCCACACGGACAACCTGGGGAAACCGCTCACACAGTGTGTGTGCCGAGGCAGAGTGGAGTCTGTGAAATGCTTCACAGGTTGGCAAGGGGAAAACTGCAAAGGGCATGGAAGGCCAGCTCCCAAGGGGTAAATAGGAATCCAAAGAGATCCCGAAGGGCAAGTGTGCCGGCTGTTTTATGTCGGCTTTGCCCAAGCTAGCGTTATCTGAAAGGAGGAACCCTCAGCTGAGAAAATGCCTCCATAAGATCAGGCTGTTGGCAAGCCTGTAAGGCATTTTCTTAATTAGTTATCACTGAGAGAGGGAACAGCCCATTGTGGGTGAGGCCGTCCCTGGGCTGGTGGTCCTGCATTCGAGAAGAAAGCAGGTTGGAGAAGTCATGAGGAACAGCCAGTAAGCAGCACCCTCAACGGCCTCTGCATCAGTTCCTGCTTCCAGGTTCCTGCCCTGTTTGAGTTCCTGTCCTGACTTCCTTCAGTGATATGGAAATGTTAGGCAAATAAACCCTTTCCTCCCAAGCTGTTGTGGTCATGGTGTTTCATCACAGCAGTAGAAACCCTGACAAGCTCAGGAAAGATGCTCTGTGTCACCCATAAGTTAGGAGGGAAAGCTGAGGTAACCACTGAGCTCTTTTAATCATTGGGAAAGGTAACCATAGAGCCTGCAGCTGTGGGAATGGCTAGGTCTCACCGGTTTCCAGGGCTGGGAGAAGTTCGTGGGGGCGCTCATTTTCATTTATGGTTGGGGGAGTAGAGCCAGGGAAATCAGAAGTTCAAAGTCATCTTCCAGTACACAGCAAGTTTGAGGCTAGTCTGGGCTACAGTAGACCCTTCCTTCCTTCCTTCCTTCCTTCCTTCCTTCCTTCCTTCCTTCCTTCCTTCCTTCCTTCCTTCCTTCCTTCCTTCCTTCCCTCCCTCCTTCCTTCTCTCCCTCCCTCCCTCCCTCCTTCCCTCCCTCCTTCCCTCCCTCCTTCCCTCCCTCCCTCCTTTCTTCTTTCCTTTTTTTCAAGACAGGGTTTCCCTGTGTAGCCTTGACTGTCCTGGAACTCACTCTGTAGACTAGGCTGGCCTCGAACTTGTAGAGATCCGTCTGCCTCTGCCTCCTGAGTGCTGGTATTAAAGGTGTGTGCCACCACCACCTGGGCTTCTGTCTTAAAGAATAAAATAAGTCACTGGGTATGTTCGCAGGTGCCTTAAATTCCAGCACTCCAGGCAGAGGCAGGAGGATCTCTGTGAGTTCCAGGACATCCTGGTATACAAAGTGAGTTCCAGGAGAGTACAGTGAGACTCTGTCTTAAAAAAAAAATAAAAGAAAAAGTCTAGTGGGCTGGAGAGACGGCTCAGCAGTTAAGAGCACTCGTTGCGCCTCGGGAGGACCTGGGCTTGCTCCCAACACTCACACTGGATGACTTACAACCACCTGTAACTCCAGCTCAAGAGCGTCTGACACCCTCTGGTTTCTGTGGGCACATGTGCACACACACATACACTCACATAAATACACTCACACAAATGCATAAGTAAAATAACAATAAATAAAAAATGAAAGAAAAAAGACAAAATGGATTTGCCAGTCATGTAAATGTCTGTACTTCTTAGAGGCAGGTGGATCACGTCAGGCATTCAAGGCTACCCTTGGCAGGATGCTGACTCAACCAAAAAAAAAAAATATTTCCCTTTAACCCAGTAATCCTACTGCTAAAATCTCCCCTAAGACTGTATTTGCAAAAGTTCATAATCAATATGTTCAGGGATGTAGATCATACCATTTTGTGCAAACAAAAAGCCTTGGAGTCCAGGGACAGACTGGCTGGAAAGAATCCACTCCTTCCGAGGTAGTGCTGCCTGAGAGACAGGCCTGAGAGATGGACGGTGTTTCCTTCCGTGGAATTAAAACCTGTAAGACCTGCGGATGTAGTAGAGTGCTTGTTTAGCACAGATGAAACTCTGGCTTTGATTCCCAGCACCATATAAACCAGCGCTTGTAATCCCAGCACAGGGGAGGCAGGAGGATGAGAAGTTCAAGGCTGTTCTATACATAGGAAGCTTGAAGCCCGTCTGGGTTCTAGGTTTACCTGCCTTTAATAAACTGTCAATGCAATAGACATATTAAAAACAAGAAAAGACTGGGAACATGGCTAAGTAGGGGAACACAGACTTAGTATGTACCAGGCCCTGGGTTTGGTTCCCAACATTGCAAGTAAGGAACAGTGAGCAAGCAAGCATGCAAACGAATGAACAAACCCAAACATGGCAATGCCTTAAAGTAAAATCTAAGCATCCCTTCCTTGTGGGCTCCTTCTCAGCCCTTGTTCCAGCCGCTTCGCACATGCTCTGTGGGCCCAGAGATTCCCCAAAGGACTCCAGGAAGCTCTCCCTCCACAAAGCCTGTGTCCAAGTGAGCCTGGGAAGCTCTTTTTGTCGTAGAGTCTCGTATACCTTCACATCTGTGGGAAAAGGAGCTGAAGTTGTCGGGAGAGTCTGCTTTGCTTGCCCTAGCAGACTGTGGATCCTGGTTCTCGGGCCTGACCCCTGCACAGACACCACCTTGCAAAGCCTAGGCCAGTGGCTCTCAACCTGTGGGTCCTGACCCCTTTAGGGCCTGCATACCAGATATTTTGCATATCAGATATTTACATGACGATTCACAACAGTAGCAATTTACAGTTAGGACATAGCAACAAAAATAATTTTGTGGCTGGGGGTCACCACAACGTGAGGAACTGTGTTAGAGGGATGCAGCATTAGGAAGGCTGAGAAGCACTGCTCTAGGGCACCAGGGACTCCAGCCTCTGGCTGGTGGCTCAACCTGTCTTTCCCCTACTTGGGCTTTCCCCTACTTCTTCCTCTCTGAAGAGGTGTCCAGCCCAAGGGTCTTTGCATCTGGAATGTTCTCCCCTGTGCATAACTGGCTTCTTCCTCAGGCCCCCTTAGCCGTGGAAGAGAGCTTCCTCGGCCTTGGAGAACATAATTTCTGGTTTGTAGATTGCCCAACCTTTCCACCAGACTGATTGCTCCATTAGGGCAGAGATGCCGTCTTTTACTTCATGACTGTTTTCCCAGCATCAGGGAGAGAACGCAGCACAGAGCATGTGCTCAGCCAATAGAAGACAAGCTGCATCTCCTAACAAAGCCCAGTCCCCCAGCTCTCTGGTTGCATCATTCTGAGATGTTGATCCAGCTTCCGGCCTTCAGGTATTCCCCAAACACAACGGGCATGTCCCCACTTCTGCCTGGATCATCGTTTCTGCCCGGGCTTTGAAACCTAGCCTCTCAGGCCCTCCCTCCCTCAGAAACTGCTCAGTGCCTCAGCATGAGTGACTGGCTTCTTCCTCATCCCGCCAAGGTGCTTGTTCACACATACCTTTGTCAGGGCACAGTGCTATTGTGCTCAGATGAAACGCGCGTCTGTTTCTCTCTCTCTGCTGGCTCTTGCGCAGGGCAGGGCTGGGTTGACTCAGGATCGCTTTCTGAGCACCCAGCCCTTTGTCTGCCGCACAATGAGTGTGATGAATGGGTGCTGACTGAAGCCTAACTTTGGGCTCTCACTGCCTGTATCCGTTCAGCTCCCAGGTCAGCACCAACTGGGCATTTAACCACGTGCAGAGTGCCGAGTTAGGTGGTGGGACTAGAAGCCGTGTTTTGGCTGTAAAGAATTTCCAGCGTAGCAGAGGAACAGACCTCCTTAACAAATCTAGCGCCAGTGAGAACGGTTAGCCCCCAAGGACTAGAATGGGTTTGAGGAGTGTATTAGTCTCCTTTTGCTGCCAAGAGAAGGGATCACTTCAAGGACTTAGAGACACGCAATTACTCCCTTTCAGAACTGGAAGATAGAAGCCCAAATCAATGTGTCACCATGGCGGTCTTTCTCTAGGGGCCCTGGAAGACTCTGGTCCTTGTCTTTTCCAGCTTTAGTGGGCTGCTGGGGTCCTCCACTCAAGTCCCCGAATCACTGATGTCTGCTTCTAGATTTGTGCTGCCTGACTCTGCCTCCCGGATCCTCCAGGACCCTAGTGATGACAGGGGAATCCCATTTGCAGAGTTCCTTTTGCTGAATAATGTATAGACCCCCCAGGTTCTGTTTGGGGTTCACAGACAAGGAGGCTTTCCTTCCACAGCTCCTGAGCCACAGAAACCTCATCCCTGCAATGTGCCTACTACCCCTTGCATGCCTCTCACGGCCTGTGGGTAAAGGTCAGACCAGCCTAGCCTTCTTGTTCTGCACAGGAAGGGGTCTGAGGCGAAGTGTGACTTGCCTGAGGCCACGCCGAATCCAGCTTGGACATCAGGTTCTCAGACTTGGCTTTCAGAGCTCATTTCATACACAATGCAGTCAGGATTATAGATCAGGCCATGTCTGGTCTGGGGCACGTGAGGACGGTGAGGGAACGGCTGGCTGTTCCTCGGAGCCTTGCTAGAGAAAGCACACGCCTGTGGTACTGATGACAAGACCCGGAGCTTTGAACGGAAGAACTGGGGGAGGCAGCTGAGCTTCAGGGTTTGAGGGGTAGGAGTTGGGGGAGACGGAGACAGCGTGTTACATGAGCCTCGGACACTGCAGAAGGCTGTCTTGTCCTCACCAAAGTCTTAAAAGACTGGTTGAGACAGTGGCCTGGAGCGCCAGGGCCGGGCAACTCTGAGCGCTAGCCTGGAAAAGTATAACTTCCCCTTTTCCTCTTTTTCTATCGCTCTCTTTTGGAGAGATACTGGCCAAAGCCCAAGTGTATTTATTTTTCTGGCACTTTGCGTTCTCTCGTTGTTTCTCAGAAGTGACCCTGCTTTTGGCAGATGACTTCCTGCTTACCTCCGTTGTTGAATACAGTAACGGAAGTCAAACAGGATGGCTTTCTCCCCTCCTCATCTCCGTACCCCTCATCCCAGCACGGCCAGGATTTACGTCTTGCCTGTCCCTCGTCTTCCTGACTCATCTTCCCTCGTTCTCGTCCTCTGTCTCCTGTCCCTCAGAGTCCTCCTTAGGTCCTGGGGGTCATTCCAGCCTTCCCTGCCTGCTTTCCCTGTCAAGAAAGTTGGGGAGTCAGCAATGGGTTGATGGCTGCTACCCTGAGCTAGCCTCCACCTGGGGGTAGAAGCACCTGACACACCAGCTCTGGACATAACCAAATCATGAGATCCCAGGAGCCGGCAATTGCGAAGAAACTCATCCATCAGCAAGGAAACTTCTCTTTGCAACAAATGAAGGTTGTTACAGAAACCATAGCCAAGTAAAGTGCAGAGCTATGGAGTTCAGTCCCAATAAATACATCTGTCACGTAAGTCCCGCGCCTACGACTCAGGGAACATTGGGGAAGAGGGGGCAGAAAAACCCGTAGGAGCCAGAGGAACAGGGAGTTTGCCTGCGACTGTGTTTCCTAGGAATGTCAGAAGCTACACCCAGAAAGTCTCACTAACATTGCGGCTTAAACATGAACTGGAAAAGGATAACAATAGACACGCTAATACTTCTGGGGGCCTGGGGAGACCAGGGAGGGGGGCCATGGTCAGGGAAGTGGGGCCCATGAAACCTCGGTCAGGGAGTGGGGCCCATGAAACCTCAGTCCTACATGAAGAACTAGTTACGGGCAACTAATGAAGGTTGAGAGTGAGTGAAATAGTCTTCTCCTGGGAAGAGCACACCAAGTGGCTATCCAATACCTAATGGTCAGCCCTGAAAACATACATACAAGTACCATACACAGACCGAGCAGGTAGTATTTAGATATTGAGGAGTATCCGTAAATACACATAAACATATATGCACGTAGCAACAGTTAGTAAAAAGTAGAGGCTATAAATTTGAAAGAGAGAAACAGGAGATAAATGGGAGGATTTGGAGGGAAGAAAGGGGACGGGGAAACTGATGACGTAATGATAACCTCCAAAAATAAAAGTCCCATGGGGTGCCCCTGGCGTCTGTGTCGTTTTGGGTCACCCATCATAATTCCTGGAGGGAGGTGGTGGCGGGGTGGGGCAGTGGGGAAGAGGTGGCATTGCCCCCCCTCTCCCCGCCCACCAACCAGGGATCTCCCAGGGACTCTGGAGTGTTCAGAGGCACTAGGGGACCCACTATCCCTGCCTCTCCAAACTGGGAGGAGCCACATGGCGCATGGCGTGTTGTGGGCCCTAAGGAGGGGAGGAGGGTGTGGTTGCCTCTGGAGTAGGAGACAAATCATTAGTAGGTGGATCTGGGTGGGGCTGGGCCTCAGTCCCGAGCCTGGAAACAGAAGGGAGGAAGAAGAGGATTCCACTGGAGGGCGGGGCTGGCAGGTGCGGCTGCTGGCTGGAAGGATGTATTCTGAGGGGTGCCTGGCCAGGGGTGGGCGAGGGTGGGGAACCTGTGAGTGCCTGGATGGCCCAGCCCATCCAACACCTGGCAAGGTGTCTCCAGGTGAGACCAGGGTCTCAGTGTCTGCGTTGGAAGGGGCAGGTGGACCCTAGTGAAGTGGTGACTTTTGGGTCATTTTCTCATCTTCCAAGCCATGGTTCCAGTAGGAGACAAACTAGACGGAACCTTTCTCACTCCCAACTACCGATCTGAACCTTTATCCTTGGTCAGGGGAGGTTCCTTCCACCCCAGCCACGCCAACAATTCTCCAAGCTTTTATTACAGACAAATCTTGATCTAATATAAGATGGGCCTCATCCTAGGGGTTGATCTTGGGGGCGGGGGGGCTACAGGAGCCAAGGTCAGCTGGGCAGATGTGGCATGAGCTCTGCCGACATCGATAGCCTTTGTTAAATGTCCACTGCATCCAGAGCCTGCCATTGGTGGAATGAAGGTGAGCAGGCCAGTGGAAGGAGTCAGCCTTGCCCTGACTCCTGCGCTGAAGACCGAGGCAGGGCCTGCCACAGTTCTCTCTGGAGCCTGCTGGCCTTTTCAGCAATCTTTGGAACAAGGCTGGGAGTCTTGGGTGATTCCAGTCCAGCTTGGGGTCGACTCGCAGGGTTCTGGGGAACGTCCAGTGGTCTCCCATTTTCCCCAGGGACTTCCTCTTGCCTCTGTCTCCACCTGAACTTGGCTTCAGCTACCCCAGTCTGGTGTGAAGGAACCCCTTGGATCTCATCCTCATTCTTGTTCAGCTTCAGTGTGGGCCCAGCTGTTGACAGCTGCGGGGGCAGCAGGGGCCTCTCCCTGCTGGGGCGGAAGGCAGGCCCAGGCAGGAGACTTGCTGGGCCACGGGACTTCTACGGCCTTTAGATGCCTGGATGGGCCTCCTCCTCTGGCAGGGAGGGTGGGAGATGCAGATGTTATGGCTAGGTTGACCCAACCGCTGCCTCTCTGCTACCTCCGTGTTCTCTCAGGTGTTTTTGTGAGGATCTGAGGAAGAAGTTTCGGGTCTTCTCACCTCTGGCCAGGGATGGCCTTGCCTTGCAGTGGGTTGTAGAGAACTCCCTGGGACCCACAGCCATCTTCTGCTGTGTTTATTTTTCCTTCTGTGGATTGGACCTAGGGCCTTATACATGGCAGAGAAATATTCTTCTGAGCCACATCCCAAGCCCCTTTGGCATTTATTTTTAAGCTTTAGATTTTTAAAAAAATTTTATATACATGAATGCCTTCCCTGCCTATATGTTTGTGTGCCACGTATGTGGCTGGTCCTTCGGAGGTTAGAAGAGGGATCGGATCTCTGGAACTAGAGTTGCAGATAGCTGTGGACCACTATGTAGGTCCTGGGAGTTGAACTCAGGCCCTCTGCAAAAGTAACAAGTTCTCTAAACTGCTGAGTCATCTCTCCATCCCCTTATTTTATTTCTTAAAACTTAATCTAGGCCATGTGTGGTGGCACATTCCTTTACATTCGAGAACTTGAGAGGCAGAGACATGTGGATCTCTGTGAGTTTGAGGCCAGTCTGGTCTACAGAATGAGTTCCAGGACAGCCAGGACTATATAGAGAGACCCTGCCTCAAAAAACAAAACAAATAAACAAACAACTCAAAATAAAAATCTAAAAATAAACAATCAACACCAAAAACCCAAAATAAACCAAATAATTCATTTACTTTGTGTGTGTGTGAGTGTGTGGGTGTGTATGTATGTGTATGTGAGTGTGTGTGTGTATGTGAGTGTATGTAAGTGTGTGTGTGAGTGGTTCAAGCCTACCCCAGTGCTTGGAGGTCAGAGGAAGGCCTGCAGGAGTTGGCGTTCTTCTTCTACCTTGTAGGTTCTTGGAACTGAACTCAGGCCGTCTTGCTTGGTGATAAAGGCTTTGACCCAATGAGTCATCTTTCTAGCTTCCCAGTTTTTATTTTTTATTGTTAGACAGTCTCACTGAGTTGCCCAGACTGGCCATGCTCACTCTGTAACCTAGGGGAGACCATGCATTCGCTGTTCTCTTGCCCCTGCTTCTCAAACAGCTCAAACAACAGGCCGGTGCTCCACATCTGGCCGGTGCTCCACATCTGGCC